GCTGCGACGCTGAAGGCGGTCCTGGACGCGTTCAAGGTGAGTGAGGCGAGCTGTGGGATGTGAGAAACCAGAGAATCGCCTCCCTCCTGTGCCCACACTACCTCGCAAGAGAAACGGCGAGGCAGGAGGGGTAAATATTCGGCTTTTTACATGGCTCGTGCTGGGCCAGTGTACCTCTGCCCAGCTGGCTTCAGAGACTGTAGGCCTAAAGGGGTTTCACGCACAGGTTTATCACGCAAGGTGAAAATCCACATGACACAGATTTTAAAACCAGAGGAACGGGCTTCCGGTACAGAACACAAAACTCTTCCCATGATCCTCTACAGCACAGCCCCACAACGTGCATTCCCCAGGGCTACAGTCCCTACAGTTTTTCCAAGACTCCACGGCCTCTTTGGAGGTGAGGAAAAGGTTGATCAAATGTATCTACTTGAATTTTAATTTCAAACCTGTGTGAAGACCAGCTAGGCTGTAACCTTCTAAGACAAGGACAATATGAAACCTATTCTTGTGGTATGAAACCTCCTCTAAACACTTATTTTTAGACTGAAACAGCAACAGCAAAATATACATAGATCTTAGTTTGTGTTTACTAACAGAAAGTGCATTGTAAAAAGACCACACAAGAGAAAAAAAGAGTCTTTAAAGGGAGCGCAAGCAGGTGTGGTTCAAAAAGTTGGCGCAGGCCATGTGAGGTTAACATGCCCTCGTGAACAAAGCAACACCTCTTTATCCTCTCCTGCTGAACCTCATCGCCTCCTGCTCAACACGTACAGGTTGAGTAATCCCTGTAGGCCAACTCTGCAATTAGTTCAATTATTTAAAAAAAACAAGCAAAACCTGAATCGGAACAGGACAATTCTGAAACTTCTGTCTGACGACAATTTTAAAAGTTCTGAAAGAGTTTACAGGGCACCAATACACACCAAGAGGTTCTCAAATGAGACGAATGAAAACTTTCTGTAGTGCAACCAAAGAGCTCTTAGATATGTCCCATTAAACACGCTTAATGTTATTCTCTTTATTTTTCATTATGTACATTTCAACCTTAATTATTTTACAGTAAAGATACTACAAATTTACTGTAATTGTAAGCCTTGAGAATTAAGTTCAAAAAGGATTTTATCTGTTCAATAGTCATAGATTTTTCGTCTCTGAAATAATCACTTCCGATCAGACGATAAGATATGTATATGCATATTAATCATTAACATGTTCAATTATCTAACATAACTAGGAAATGGGCAGGAGCTCTTCTTTATAAAATATATACTTTCACAACACTCTTCAGAAACAATGCAGAGAACTCTGACTAAAAATAAAATTGCTTATCTAAAGTGAACCAAAAGGTCAGATTTGAATTTCTTTTTTTGTCAAAATAGCAAAACATCATTGAAAAAAAAATCACAAATTATTTATTCCTTTAAAACAGGCTGATCGGTCAAAATTTCAAATGTAAAACACCATCTTTTATGACACGCTACTAAATAATTCCAACACAAAATAATCTTTCAAGAATCTCCCTATTATTTTGAATTATTTGACTTGTTTGACCATATACGTCATGAAGATCTTCTGAATGCTGACAGTGAGTACAGGTTTTTCAAAGGCTACGACACACTCACACACTGAAACTGTGCGTCTTCATGAATGGCACAAGGTGCTGCTGGCCCTTCAACAGGCAGCACAGTGCTCCCAGTCACTCGTTTTAAAGCAGTTTCATCTCTGTCTGCTCATCAGCACCAGAGCTGACTGTCTCTGTTGGCCCACTGTATCATCTGCTATCCAATTTTTTCTTACACTTTACCTTTGTCACTTGTAATCACAGTAATAGCATTTACTGTACTGTTCTGTATATTGAACACTGTATGGTATAATCTCCTGTACTCAGTCTAACTCAGGGGCAGGCACCTCCAGTCTGCAAATGATGGGTTTCTGCAGGTTTATGAGTCAGCTTTCAGTCAGAACCTGTTTAAGACCTATAAAACAATCCTGACTTAACTCCTCACCCACTTACACACTGTGGGTCAATGAAGTCTTCTTAAAGCTGAGATGGAATAATCCTAATCGTGATAAGAGGGAGCACCAGCAGAAGCTAAAAGAACATGAAAAATAGAGGCAATAATTATATTGATGCTCTGCTTTACAATTAAAAAAAAACGCTCCTGGTCCCACAGGGTTTTCAAAATCAAATATCTGTGGAAAACGCCTCTCTGTCAAAACAGAACACTGACAAGGCCGCTGAACTCTGGCAGCAACTGGTGAAATAAAACGTAAGCTACACAACTCTCAACACCTGGGCGCCCTCGTTTTCTTTTACTGCTGTACTGAAGCTCAAGCAGTCTTACGACACTGAACACCGTTCTCTTTGTGGCTGAGGACACCAGCACGGGGTCCAGGCAAGTCAGAGGAACACAGAACAGCAATAAGTCTGGGTCTCCCTGCACTTCCTATTCGCTACACGCGAGTCCCCTGCCTGCTGCAGCGCCCTTGTCGAACTGGGAGACAGCAGGTCGCCATCGAGCTGCAGCCCTCTTCAGCTTCACAAGGCCACACTTATTCTAGACTGCTGTCGGTCGTTTCGCAAGGGAACAGCGCTTTCTCGCTGCTTTTTCTACCATTTGAACTTTCAAATTGGTCAACTGAGTTGCAGTGAAACAAGAGGAAGCGACAAACCAGGGTGACTGAATTGTGGTGCCGTCCGACTTGCATTGGTATTGAATAAATAAGCAATGTCACCCCAACAGGTATTTACTTCAACAGTAGTTGAATTACCGTTATCAAGCAAATTTGACAAAGATTAATATTACCTTAACAAGGTGGAATTTGTTTCATTAATGAGCAAAAGTATAACAAATGTAAATGTAAGACATTAAAAACAGTACTTTTTCAACTTATTTCAACAATATTGTAATAGAAAATCTTCAGGCGTAATTAGGTAGATTGTATTTCATATATATAATAAGTTCTGCTTGGATATAGGAAAAATACACTGAAATTACAGTGGATTGATGACTACTTTATTTCTACTATTAAAGTCAAAGCAAAAAACTGATTCATTTTTGCATTTTTTTTCAATTTTTAAAAGGCTTATACACTTCTCCATTAGTTTGCTCAACCTTATTGATATCCTAACCATGTTTTGCCACTAATTCAAAAAAAAGACTCAATTTCTAGGCAAGCTTATGTTGCCAATAGATCATCATGGTCCTTATATTACATTGTTATTTAAAATATAAATAAGCATCTGTGCATTGCCAGAAAGACCGGGCAGTATCTGCTGTAAAGCTCATCTAAAGTCGATTTTTACATCTTAGGAAGACTATACCCATATGCAAAATACACAAGCCATAGTTACTATACTTTGATCTAATAATGATATACTAATGCCACGAATATTTCTTTCATCCAGCATTTACTGTCTCTCACAGCTGTTGATAGTTCTTTCCGGTTTGTTAATGTTAACGGCAAGTTGCTTTTTTGATTGTCAATTATAATTAGAAAGAAAATAACAAAGGACTAATAATAAGAAATAAAAAAAAAAAACCACAATGCTCTTTAAAGGATTCGGCTGAGTTTTTTCCTAAGAGAACTTTTGCACCGAGTGTTAATGTAGCCTGTGGAGGCAGCAGGAAGGGCTTGTTTAAAAAATAAATTGATGGATTCGTTTTACGTCTTCGCCTCCTGTAAGAATTTTCGACGGACAGAAAGCCCACAGCCCGAAAGCCCGATGTCAGGAAGACGTGTCGCGCGTTAGGAGATTAATCGCCCTCCTCGCGCTAATGCTCGCTGACCTATCAGACCACACCGGGGGCGCTTCTGTCCTGGGGGGGCGCGCCGAGGTGTCACAACGTCCTCGAGGTATTTCACAATCCCCATCCCCATCCCCTAATTAACCGCACACCGCCCGTCACGACGGGAGCGCTAGGGCAGGTCCAATACCAATTGCTCAGATAATGCATTCGTCTTCATCGAGGAATTTTTAACGCAAGGCAGGGAAAGTACCAAAGCATCTCAAAATGCGGTGAAATGCAGTATGTTTTTAAAAAAAAAATATGAAAAGAGCTCTAAAGAGTACGGGCCTTTTTTAATCACTTGGGAATTTTTAGTGGCCACGATCAACCTAAAGTAAAATAGCCCTTTTGACACGCAATAGCCAGTACCTAGATAAGGCCAATGAAATAATTGAGCTTCTAACTACGAAAGGTTAGCACTGCTCTTTAAAAGAAGAAAGTACTGCCTTAATCTTTAGTTTACGCACAGCCCAGAAGTAGTCAGCTTCATGCGGTCATTGGGGTTGTGTGTTTATGTGGAGCAGTGCATGTGTGTGTGGTTTGAATGCGAGGTCTCTGTGTATACCTATTTGATGTGTTGGAGACAGGGGGTCCATATACAGCCGGTGAGAACTCCAGAGGACGGTCAACTTTCAGACTGCAGATACCACACTGGCAAAAGAGCAAAACTATTTCAAGATATATATGTTGTTGTTTTTTTGTGGTGGTGGTGAGCCGTGTGCGGAAACGGTAGTGCAAAAAAAAAACCCGAAATGCATAGCTCCAGAAAACTTGACAGGAAACAAAAGGTCCGGCTATTTAGCATTATTTATGTCGCTTTATTAAAACCCACGAGAGAGCGTGTGGCTTCCGAACCGGTTTCGGTTTTGCCGCGACCCGCCTGTGCGTCTTCACTGGGCACTGCTCGTATCCGACAGAGCCGGGTTTCTGAGCCGAGAGCGGAGCGTGATAGAGACAACGCTGAATGCAGAATATCGTTAATTAACTCGATAGTAAAGAGGAGGCCGTCAGAAAAACAAAAACAACGTAAGCTACGAGGCAGCAAACTTGCGCGTCCTTACCAAACGAATTACAATCTGCGCCGCTAATACCAACGACGACGATGACACCGCTGCTATAATTGACCCCACATTTCGTGTGAGCACCCATCAGGAATAAACCCAGCGGTCTGGCGTTTTAAAAATAACACAGAAACAGTCCTCTTACCGCCCCTGTTTGGTGATAATCATCTCGGTCTGGTATTTGTGAAACTTCGCCCAGAGCGGGTAGTTGTTCAGGACGGCTTGGGTCTTCCCGGACACCTGCAGCCCGGGCAGCGGGTACATAGGCGGGCGGGGGTACCCGTGCTGGAAGGGCGCCGTGTACCCGTCTCCCCCGGCCGGGTAGACCTCTTTGCCCGAGTGCACGAAACTCTCGCCGCCGCCCGGCGCGAAGCTCTGGCCGGCGCCGCTGCGGGTCGGGGACCGGACGGCGCTGTAGGGGCAGCTGTCGAGGCCCGGCGACGTGAACAACCTCCCCATGTGCGTCCCGAAGCCCGTGACGGTCTGGCCGGCCGAGTACGGCAGGGTGATGGAGCAGCTGTCCTGGCCCGCCTGCAGCGGGTCCTGGTAGTAAAACCGGGTGTCCTGGATCCCCATTTTGAAGTCGGACAGATCCTTGCTGCGGTGCAGGTGGCTGTTGATGTCCGAGTCCTTTCCAAAACTTTGCGCCTCAGTCCCATTCAACATGCTCACGTAAAAATTGCCACCTATTCCGCCCATTTGCTGCGTCAGCCCAGGTGTCCGTGTAATTTCATAAGTTCGCCTTGTCTTCCGTTCTTCCTCGTCTTTCAATGAACCCAGAACCTGCAGCAGCGCAAGCCCGCAAGGTGCCCGAACCGGCGCCGAGGACGCACCGAGACAGGTGGGATGGGTTCGAGCGGCGGTTACTCTTCTTAACTACCGCTAATCAGGTGGGGGGGGATTTCTTTTTTTTTCCTCCAACTTACAAGTTTGCTGCTGTACAGTGTTGTGCCCAAAAAGAATAAGTTTAAAAAAAAAAGCAACGCCAAGGAACTTAAATTAACGCGATAGCAGTAGCCGTTCGTGAACTGGATAGTTCAAGTGAGCTATTTTGAAAGTATAGTAGACATCACAGCGTGTTTCACCCAGCTCGCTATTAAAGCTGGAAACACATGCTCGCCTTCTTAAATCATATATAGTTTCTAGAGCCGCTGATTGGCTGGAGCGGCGGGACCTCTTTCACAGAGGGCTGTGCTGTCTCGCCTGGGGCTGTCGAGAGTCAGTCCTCATCACTCGCGCACCGAGGCGCTTTTTAAAGAAGGCAGCGATCTGCCCCTTTCGTTTAGGAATTGAGGGGCTGGTGTAAAGCGCCCAAGAACGAGTCTGCATTCCTCTAGTTTAACAGAACAGCACGGGTTGTCAGGTAAAAAGAAAAACCGCCTTTCCGTTTTCCAAAGCACAAGGGGTGTATTCATTTACGCGAAAGAAAAGGTGCCCACTGCTGTATCTGTGATCGCCCAGAAACACGATGTATACCCACCCCTCCACAAGAGAGAACGAGATGTCTTCACCTGAAAGTCAACGCGTTTTTCCCCCCCCACATTTATGGGTTGTGTGAAAACACCATATAGCCCCGAACCCCTCATTAAATCGGGGGGCTTCTGTTTAAATGTCTAAAGTCGCAGTTCTTTAATCTGACGAACAAATCTTACTTGGTAATGACAGTAACTGGAGCGTCAACGAACAGCTACACCATCAGAAATAACGATGCATCAAGAACGTTTTACGTGGCACAAAACGCCACACATTTTAGAAACTTCTTAAGCATTATGCTGGCTAGAGTGATTTTGGAAGTGGCTCTTCTGATGATGTGCCCAGATAACACTGAACTGGTTTCGCAGTTTCCTTTAAGGTTCTTTGCCGGCTTGAAATGCGAGCCTAGTGCCCGGTTATCTGCGCATCGAGCCTCCTTGCGATCGGTTTCCATCAGGAAATCGGCACCGCAGAAACTGCAAAAAATCAACCGAAATACCCCCCGGTACCACGCGTCCGCGCCCGACTCGCTCTGCTCAAGACGGGCTCTCAAGATCCTCGCTCTCTAAGATACCCCGGACACTGAGAACACATGCTCATCTTGCTTAAAGATGTTAGCTGCTGCTGCTGCTCCTATAAAGTCACCTGTTTTTTGCAGGTCGTTTTTGCACCTTTCACATTTCGAGTAGGCTGTCGCCCTGTTTTAAACATGTTCTCTCTCTGCATGAACCGTGCTGGTGAGTCGGTACTCCCCATTAGCCAGACTATCGCTCAGTTCTATACCAGTTTCACTGCAAACTTAGGACTGCACAGTGGAAGTACGAACGCCCCATTTCAATAAAATAAAAATAATGATGATGATGCTGCTATTCGAATACCTGCATCTTTATAAGTTTTCTAAAATAGGTATACATGCACACTGGTAACAACGTTTTTTTTTCATTTCACCTAGGATAAAAAAATGAATATTAACGCAGTTTATTTTCGATATGCACGTCACAGTCTTCACGGTGAATTTTTAAACAGACTCAAAAGATAAAACTCCATAGATCTTAGTTAAGTTTCATTTAAGTCCCTGCGCTGGAATTCACTGCTGTTAAAAACGCCGGATGATGCCGTGCCTGTCCAGAGGTAAAGCAGACTTTTTTTTTTAAAAAGGCTGAATGTGGGATTACTGGGCACCAGGACCAAAAAAAAGAACTAGTGGAAAGAGTCTTGTGTTTGATATTTTAACGGGGGTAAAGACATTAACCAAAAACCGGAAATGTCTATGTAAATGTGCTGTAACTCACCGACTGGGCTGGGGGAAGGTGTCAACATGCTTATTCAGAATGTTTATTCCAGTAAATAGTGGTGAATACCATTACAGACTTAAAATCTCCATGAAGCCAGCGGAAACTGCGAAGCTTTAAGAGTGATAACCCGTGGGGCCAATATACCGGGAGACAGCCCCCTACCAGATCGCTGGGAATAACCGTCCCATTACAAAACACACGAGGAGCAAAGCTCTGAGCCCCCGAAGGCATCAAGTCTCTCGGAAGGAGAATGTTATTTAAGTGTAAATTAAGGACAGGATTCAGTGTTGGCAAATTGGGCTTATGTGCCTTATAACTCGCAGAGTAAGAATTTGATTGAGGTCTCTGCTAATTCAAGCCATTCTGACACCCAATGCAGTGAAATATCTGTGCCGGCCAACATTTATTCTCAGTCCAAACGCCACAAAGATGACAATATCTCGGCCAGGGTCCCTGGCTGTTCCACACAGCCCCAGAGATGTGGACAAACAGCTTCAGGGTAATGACTACACATCCCTGCCCCCTGCGCTGTGCTCACTTCAAGAGAGAGGGATGGGTGGCAGTGTGGTAAGATGAAATGCAAGAAAGAATAAGAGAGGGTTTATGTAAGAAATAGAACAGTTAGATGCCTATCTCTGCTACTTTCGACTTCATGATGACTAACATGATTTCAGTTAAACCACCAGCAGCTGGAATCCAGAAACCTGGTGCTCACAGCACAGAACACCTGAAGTATTAAACATGGAGACTTTTTCCATTACAAAAGGGCATAGGTGATAAGCTCTGTGCAACACTCAAAGCTGTAGGAACTGTCAATACTCGAAGGAAGAACGAACGGGGAATTTAACTTACTGCATTTCACGCTGTAGGCTTCAGCCCTTTCCTTAAAGGCACATCAAACTTCACCTTCCTAATGCCTGAACAGCACAAGGGAAAACACAGGGCATGACAGCAGATCCCAAACACCAAAAGCTTGCCAACCTGTGGAAAAAAAGAGCAAGAATCACATTTCTACACTACTGCAGACACACAGCTTTATTCCTTCTTTGTTAAAGGTATTGTTAGCTCCAGTTCATCAAACAGAATAAATAAGAAAAAACTATTGATACTGCTGCCATTTATAAAGGACATCTTCAGAAGAACTAATAGTTCAGACTGAAGCCTTCATATCATACAGATTGAAAAAAAAAAATACCCTAGTTCTACTTTAAGCACCATTTCAACTGTCTCTTACTCTTTATGACCCCCCCGAATTACAAAATATATACTGTAAGTAGCAACCCTTTAAATTTGCAAATAAAAAGTGAAATTATCTTTTTCTTCCAAAGCCAGGAAAAATTGAAAAAAAGAACAAATTTAATTTGTGTTGAAATAGGAAAACGATATCTGGTTAATGTGGTTAGGAGAAAGGTAATGAAAGAGCAATCTCTGCTCGTCAAGCCTTTAGGCCAACATAGTTCATCGCAGAAACACCACGGATATTCTGTGGTTCCTCCTTCACTGCAATTGCTCTTATCCCACTTCCTGTGTTTCTTGTAGCAAGGTGAGCACAGAAGGTCACACTATGATTTCATTGGTGCTGACACTGTGCAGGAGGGACAAGACCTGGGCCTGATTCTCCCTGAAGCAAGAGCAGTGCACATTCATCTGCTGTGAAAACCGTCTCGCAGGTCAGGTGACTGGAGACACAGCACCTTGTCTACCATCATGCCCTGCTCTGTGAGACTGGCAGTCGCAATCTGTCAAACACATGCAGCCTGCATATCTGCGAAGGAAGCAGAGAGGCTTCTGATTCTTGTTCAGACTTGGGGTGTCTTGGGTGGTTTACTGTGCTTGCACAGTCTGAGCTGCCTCTAGCAGAACCTGAAATTGTATACCACACAGCAAGGAGTTCTGGGACATGGACACAATACTAACCGAACTGAAAGGCTCAATGAAAAGGCTCATATTTAGAACAGTGGAGTGTCAGCATGTTGTAAGCTTTTGAGGAGTGTCCACATCAAGGGTTGTCATATGAACTTCTTGATTAAGTGTTGGGCACAAATGGTCAAAATGGTCCAAGGGGAGTCCTGTCCCTTGTGCATCAGGCACAAAATCCACTATCTAGGCCTGGCTATTCCAAAATCAACTTGGAAAAATAAAGAGAAATTCTGCACAATTCCCCGTACTAAAATGCTATCTGGAAGTGTGTGGGCCTTAAAGACAAAGGACAGTCTCTGATTTAGCTACTTAAATGAGGACAATGCGGAACAGGTGTTTCCGTCCATGACAGGAAAAATCTTTTTGGACACTGCACAATGCGTGACAGCAAAGCTCTGTTGCTGTATGTTGTTCCTGTTGAGAAGTTAGAGGTCTGCCACATTCAGTAAAGCTATAAAAAGCTTAAATTTACCAACCATTTAAGATGAAGAAGCCAGAGAAAATGTAGCACCTGGGCTGTGGTAGGCCAGGGGACTTTTTCTTTTTTAAAGTCTGATTGAAAATCACACCTCTGATATTTTCTTTTTAAATGTTCTTGGTACATAAAGAGGGATTTGATTTTTGTAAAACAAAATCTTAAATGTTTTCCACTGCATGGGAAAATAAATAATTTATCCAATTAAGCCAGTAATTATCTTAATTACAATCAAACAAAAACTAAAAGCCCCAAAGGCATCTGCAAGCCCGACAGTGTTCAGAACAACACCTAAGACGGGAGACACTGAGCATCATGGAGATTAAGATCCACAGAAGAAAGGTGTCTTCAACGCAATCCCTTCTCCCAGCCTTTAATTCCGACCCCCAACGTGCAACACTGAATGTCAGTTAGTTCTTCTACCTTTAGTTGGGAATCTGCAATTGTTTCGTTTTGGAAAAAACCCTCACCTGAGAACATTTCTTTCGCTTTACTGCAGAGGATTGATGACCATGCTGCCACGCACATGCCAGCAGTCATATCACTCTGCAACTCACAACTGGCAGCCCACTGGAGCTCAGCAGGTGTGAGGCTGGTCAGTACCTGGATGGGAGACTCCTGGGAAAAACTAAGGTTGCTGCTGGAAGAGGTGTGAGTGGGGCCAGCAGGGGGCGCTCACCCTGTGGTCCATGTGGGTCCTAATGCCCCAGTATAGCGACGGTGACACTATACTGTAAACAGGCACCATTCTTCAGATGAGACATAAAACCGAGGTCCTGACTCTCTGTGGTCATTAAAAATCCCAGGGCGTTTCTCGAAAAGAAAATCCCCATTGGCCCTTACCAATCACGGCCTCCTAATAATCCCCATCTTTGAATTGGGTTCATCCCTCTGTTCTCCTCCCCACTGAGAGCTGATGTGTGGGGAGCGTTCTGGCGC